GGAGGTAGAATCTCCAGATTAGTATCCAATCTGTCTAGTCGGGGCTGATGAAATGAAATGCGGATAGGTCTCTTGTGATACAATAGTGAATAATTGTTATCAGGACTGCTTGTGAGGGTTGGAAATGTAAAGGTGGACATTTTGTAGCAAGGAGGGGAGTGATTTTTTTTTTCAGTCTAGGAGCGGAGGTCCCTGGGACCATCAAGGGAGAAGAGCAGAGAGCGGGACCCTACCCAGAGGAGTAGTGATGCCTGAGATGGAGGCAGAGTCGATGACGTGGAGAGATGGAGCAGCTGGGGACTTTAGACCCAAAGAGGGAGAGGGGCTGTGTGCTGACAACCAGGGGACAGGCTTGTAGTGTATACCCTTTGGTTGGTTGATGATACATGGAGGGAATTGTAACCATGGCAAGGAAATGATATATGATAGGATGAATGTAAACTAATGTTCTCCCACGTAAACTATCACATAATTCACAATAAAACATTTTAAAAAATATATCTGTGTATGCAGGATAGTTTGAGTGCTAGGAAGGGAGGCAATACACAAGAAGAGGGAGGGAATTGGAAGAACAAGGCAGATGGTAAAACAATAAAGGAGGTTTGCATGGGCTAAGTGGGACAGAGGTAAATAATGATGTATGCACAACTGTGGAACAACAGAGCTCTGGGATACAGGAATTGAGACATAATTGGAATGGGCAAAAGGGGGCAAATAATGTTAAGATGCTTGGCTGTCTTTTGAATCTTGGTTTCCTGGCATACCATTATAAAATAGGCACTTGAGGGGGAGAGAAGGGAATAGCCAGAAATATCACCATAGAAAGCTTGTAAGTCCATCTTCTGCCTATAACTGATTGGAACACCTAAAATGGAGTTACAACGTGCCTATGAAGGAGGCTTCCTGAGGAGCCTCTGCATTACATAAAGCCATAGGAGGAATCTTCAACTCCATCCAGAATCTTCTGAGGTGGGAAATTTCCACCAGAAAGGACAATTAGACCAGCCTGGAGTGGCTAGAAGAACAGAAGATACTTCTTGAAAGATAGACCAACAGGAAAAACACAAAACAATAATGGCAGTCCGAATGACTACTATAAGAACAAGCAAGTTGCTCACCCAAGAGACATCAAGGCAAGCAGTCGGGTCCCCTCAGGGCAAACCCCCTTCCAAGACTGAGACTCAATGGGAATACATGAGCAGACACATGCTCTGACTGGTGACCACATTGGTCACCAAAATAAGGGGAAGTGAGGGAAAAACCACAATGAAGCCGTGAGCTAAGCCTACATCGTTCAATAGACTCCTGTGAACCTGGGTGGAGCCTGGTTGGCCAGCAATTTGACAAGACCTGGGGACTCTTGGGCCCAGAGTCAGTGACATAGCCACAGAAGTCTAGATTGGAGAATGAAGCGTCCAGCTGATAAGAAGAGAGGACATAAGCACAAGAACACCCACACTTGCAGATAATACCCACTTATCCTGGCTTCAGTGACTGGATGCTCAGAGCTCAACTAGAAGAAGAAAGAAGAGGAAAAAAAGAGTAATCTGATACAATTTGATGAACTTGACTCACATCTATGGTTGCAGTAGCTCAAAACAGGGAACAAATCTTTGTAGCAAGGATCATTCCCACCCCCTCAATACACAGGGTACACAGGGATGGGCATCTTGGACACTGGCTACCCAAAATGGTGGGGAGGAGGGGAGGAGGGCCTACAAAGGCAAGAAGCGACTGGCCTACAAGCTTTCAAGAGGGAGCCTAGATGCAGAGGGCACAGAGGACGGTAGAATCCCTACTGAGTAGTATCCAATCTGTCTGGGCGGGACTGATGAAAGGAGATGTGGATAGCACTGATGTGGTACAATAGTAAATAACTGCTATCAGGACTGACTGTGAGGGATGGAAATGTAAAGGTAGACATTCTGTAGCAAAAGGAGGGGAGTGGTTGACTTTGCAGGTCAGGAGTGGAGGGCCATGGGACCATCAAGGGAGAAGAGAAGAGTGCAGGAACCCACCCAGAGAAGCAGTGATGCCAGAGGTGGAGGCAGAGATGATGACCTGGAGAGATAGGGTGGCTGGGGACTGTAGAGTCAGAGAGGGAGAGGGGCTGTGTGCTGACGACCAGGGGACAGGTTCACAGGGTACTCCATTTGGTTGGCTGATGATGCATGGAGGGGATTGTAACCAAGGCAATGTAACAATATACGATAGGAAGAATGTAAAGCTAACATTCTCCTGTGTAAACTATCACAGAATTAACAAAACATTAAAAAAAAAAAAATCTGTATATGTGTGAACCAAGACTATGAAGAACTGAGATAAACGAAAATATGTGATTTTTCTCTCACCATCTCTTATATAAGGAGACCTACTGATGTAGTGGGTTATGAGTTGAGCTGCTAACCAACCATAAGAGAAAGATGAGAGAGTAAGCTTCCATAAAGATCTGCAGCCTATGAAACCCTAGGAGCAGAGTTCAACTCTCTTATAGGGTTGCCATGAGTTGGAATCCACTTGTTTAGTGTTTTGGGCTTGGTATCGCTTACATTCTTATAATGTATTTCATGCAATAAATAAAAACCAAGAGAAAAACTCCCTCAAATCCTATTTCTTGTATAATTCCTCCACAATCGAAAAAAATCGAGTTATCTAATACAGTATGACTATTTATCTGGTTGGCATCTTAATTATTCACAATGCTAAGTTTTCTATTTCCAACTATTAAACACCTACTGAATGGTGCAAATGACTAAGCACTGGGCTACTAATAGAAAGGTTGGCAGTTCAAATACACTTAGAGGCACCTCAGAAGAAAGACTTGGCAATCTACTTCTGAAAGATGGTAGCTAATGAAAGCCCTATAGAGTGCAGTTCTGCTCTGAAACACATGGGGTCAGCCAAGAGTCAGAACTGACTCAACAGCAAGTGGTTTGTTTTATTTAAATTTTTTATCTGAACAAAAATTAGGCTTTCAAAGTATTTTCAAAGTACTTACAGAATGCATCTCTATATTAGTAAGAGTACTAACAGAGATATAGCAGTTGGGGACTCGACTCTGGAAGGGAGAGGGTCTGTGTGTTGATGGCCAGGGGGCAGGCTTGCAGGGTGTACCCTTTGGCTCTTTGATGATGCATGCAGGGAATTGTAATCATTGCAATGAAACAAAATAGGATAGGATGAATGTAATGCTAATGTTCTCCATGTAAACTATCACATAATTCACAATAAAAACTTAAAAAAAAAAAAAAGAATATATCAGAAGCTGATTGAAAATGCTATAAATATACTTTTAATATCACTAATAACTTTTATTTTTTAACCTTTCAGTCTACTAAGAGGAAGGGCTGAAATTCCAAACCAATGAACTGCAAGGTCAGTCTGAACCACAAGGTTAGTGGTTCAAGCTCACCAACTACTCCTCAGAAACCCTATATAGGGTTACTATGATTCAGAACCGAATCAAGGACTGCACTTACCAACAACAACAACAATACTTCTTTTACCCATGCTGTTTTATTAGAATACACATCTTACCGGTTCTTCAACTTCCCCACTAGCATGCTGAGCTTCAGCTTGTAGGTCTATAGGTGGAGCATCTTCCACAATTCTTTGAACAGACATCTGAATAAACTCATCAAAAGAATCCAGCTGTTGTCTGACCAAGCCTTTTTCATCAAAATAGGAACTGGAAAAATATTTAAGTTAATAATCAGGTTACAATGCAGTGATCTTCTCAATACATTAATCTCCATGTTTTCAATATAATTAAACTTAACAAAGTTCTCATTAAGTACGAACTGTATGCCAATCACTGCACAAGACACTATGAAGTATCCAAACCAAGGAGTGAGACAAGGAACATTTTCTTTACAGTTTATTAACTTTGGGGAATCAAAGTTTCTATATGTAAAATAAAAGAGCTCTGGTAGCATACTGATTATGAATCGGGCTGCTAACCTCAAGGTCAGCAATTTGAAATTGCCAGCCGTACTGCGGGAGAAAGATGAAGTTTTCTGCTCCTGTAAAGATTTAGTCTCGGAAACCCTATACTCAGTCACTCACTACGAGTCAAGAGCAACTCCACGGCACACCACCACCACTATACGTAAAATAATAAAACCACAATACAAGAACTATAAAGAATCCCTGACTCATAAAGGTCTTTTATAGACAAATTTCACCCAACCCTTTTGAAACACTTGAGAGAAGGGTCAAGAGAGAAACCAGGTAAGATGAAAACGTTGTTTTAAGTGATTTCAAATAGGTTCCAATTCATAACGACCCTATGCACAATGTAACAAAACACTGCCAGGTCCCAAGCCATCCTCATAAATATTGTTACATTTGAGCCCACTGTTGCTGCCACTATGTCAATCCATCTCACTGGGGGTCTTCCTCTTTTTTGCTGACCCTCCACTTTACCAAGCATCACATCCATCTCCAGGGACAGGTCTCTCTTGGTAATGTTTGAAGTATGAACAATGAAATCTTGCCATTCCGACTTTTAAGAAGCATTCTAGCTGTACTTATTCCAAAACAGATCTGTTTGTTCTTCTAGCACTCCATGGAACTTTCAATATTCTTTTCTCCAACATCATAATTCAAATGTTATCAATTCTTTTACATTCATCTTTATTCACTGTTCATTTTTCACATGCATATGAAACTACTGAAAATGTCATGGCTTGGGTCAGGTGAACCGTACTCTTCAAACTGACATCTTTGCTCTGGAGCACTTTGAAGAGGTTTTACGTAGCAGATTTGCCTAATGCAATCCATCATTTGAATTCTTGGCTGCTGCTTCCATGAGTTTTGATAGTAGATATAAGTAAAATTAAGTCTTTGACAACTTCAATCTTATCTCCATTTGTAAAGTTATTTACTGGTCCAATTGTGAACATTTTTGGTTTTTTCATGTTGAGGTGCAACCATACTGAAGGCTATATGTAGTCTTTGATCTTCATAAGCATTTTAAGTTCTCTTCACTTCCAATAAGCAAGGCTGTATCATCTGTATATCACAGGTTGCTAATGAGTCTTCCTCTAATCCTGATGCCATATTCTTCACATAATCCAGTTTCTTGGACTATTTGTTCAGCATTCAACTTGAATAAGTATGGTGAACGAATACAGCCCTCACACACACCTTTCCTGATTTTAAACCATTCAGTATCCTCTTGTTCTCTTCAAACAACTGCCTCTTGGTCTATGGATAGGCTCCTCATAAGCACAATTAAGTGTGCTTGATTACCCATTCTTCTCAATGTTATCCATAGCTTCAATAAAGCACAAGTATATATATCTTTCTGGGATTCTCTGCTTTCAGCAAAGACCCATCTGACGTCAGCAATACTATCCTTAGTTTCACGTCTTCTTTCGAATTTGGCAGTTTCTTTTCCCTGTCAATGTGCTGTTATAGCCTTTTTGGAATTTTTTTCTGCAAAATTTTACTTAGATGTGATATTAATATAGCTTGCTGATTTCCACATTCTGTGGATCACCTGTCTTTGGAATAGGCAAAAATACTGGATGAAAATAAGTACTCTAATTCAAGCCGTATTCAGAAGAGGGCATGGGAAGAGAAATATCATTGCTCATGCCAGATGTATCACAGCTAAGAGCAGAGAATATCAGAAAGGTGTTTACTTGTGTTTTATTAACTAATCAAAGGCATTAAGCTGTGTGGATAATAACAAATTATGGCCCAGACTTCCAGCAAGACACTACACAGACCCTCCACAACAAAGATGTTGTTAAGTGCCATCAAGTCACTTCCGCATCATAACGACCCTGAATAGGTATCTGAGGAGCAGTGTGAACCACCGCCCTTGCAGTTCAAACGACCTAGCAGCCCAGTGCATTAATCCACAGTGCCACACCAGGACTCTACAACAAAGACATAAGAATGAAACAGACACAGATGAAAATTCAGGAACCCTGAACTTAAGAGGAAAGGACAGAGAAGTGGGTTGAGTGCTTGCCGGGAAAAGAAACTGAGCAGGGACTGCAAGAGAGGAAGACTGACTGATGAGTAACCGACCAGATGAGGCGCAACCATCTTGTCAGTAGCTTTGGCAACAGAAGGTGTCCTGGCAGAGCAGATTCACACAGGCAAAGGAAAGGTATGATTCCTTCCTTTTTCCCGTGCTCCCCGGTGGTCAGAGAGGTGGCCAGCTCCCACCCTCATCCATCACCAGTGCAAACCCTGCTCTCCAGGAGTTCAGAACCAGGTGGTTGGGAGTCAGGCCAGTGTGAGACAAGGACCTGCTGTACCACTCTGGTGTGCCGCTCTCGTGCTTGGTGTCTGGTAAACATGAATTCTTTGTGTAACTTTTCTGTAAGTTACAAACACTTTAAAAGTTAAAATAAATACATAAATAAACTGAGAAGCTCCTATGTAGCATACTTACGTAAAACACCGGATGTTTAAGAACAGATTTATCAGGAAATCCCTTACTTGATACAATAACTTTTAAAATTTATTTAGTTTGGTCTAAAAAGTTACCTGATTACAATCCAGCATGCTTCTTGCCACAAATCTGGGGTGATTTCATCATCATCTTCATCATATTGCATATCTGCAAAAACAAAAATGCATTTTCATATGCAATGAAATACCATTAGTTGTCATGGGAATAACATGTTTATACTTTCAATGGCAGTTATCTATTTAAATAAAAAGTAATCCTTTTATTACATTTTCTTAAAATTTCAATTAAATTCATGAAATAGTCTATGTCTGCATCATACAGGTATTCTCCTGATTTACACACAGGTTTTATTACAAAGGCTCAATTTACATTGTGTGGAGTGGTAAACTTCCAAGCTTGTCCAGAAAGTCCATGCAACTCTCATGCATAATAACTGTAGGATAAGCACTGGACTGCAAGGTTAGCAGTTCAAACTCACCAACAGCTCCCTGGACACACTGCACCGGGTAGCTCTGAGTTGGAACTGACTCATCGATACTTAGTAACAACATAATAATTGGTAACAAACTAAAAATCCTCAGAGACCTGAGCCAGAGGTGATTGTGTGGAGGTAGAATCAGAAAACAGCTCCAAAATCTGGGCAATATCAAAGATGGGGAGGCAATTACAGCAATATTTCTAATGTGCACTGGTGTGGCAGATTGTACCTTGAAAACATGGTGTTATGGACTGAACCGTGTCCATCAAAAGACATGCTGAAGTCCTAATCCCTGTACTGTGAATGTGTTCATGTTTGGGGCAACAGAGTCTTTCTCTGAAAATATTATCAACTAAACCATACAGAGTAGGTAGATCCTAATCCTCATACCTTCTCAGTGGTGTTTTATAAAATGGGAGAACAAACACAGAGACAGGAGGAAATATAGGGGACATCACGATGTGAAAATACTCAACAAACAGCAAAGGAGAACTGAAGATTACCAGCACCCATCAGAAACTAGGAAAGCAGCAGGGAGAAATTATTCTTGCAAAGTTCTTAGAAAAAACTGAAATATCTGATTTGAACCTCTAGCCACCAAAATTGTGAGAAAATAACTTTCAGCTCATGTATTCCACATATTCTTCAATGTGATCTTGACACGCATGTTATCAAGAGATGTTGTTAAGTGCCATCTAGACAGTTCTGACACATAGGGACTCTGTATAGGATTTCCAAGGAGCAGTAGTGGGTTTGAACCACCAACCTTGTGATTAGTAGTAGTCTAGTGCTTATCCTACAGCACCACATCAGGACTCCATTATCAAGAGATGGGAACCTATATATTCTCCTCTTGAGTCTGGGTGGGCTTTTCATGACTCTATCATTAAGAACTGTAACTGAAGAGATGTTGAATGTCTTTAGAAACTAGGTCCAAAACAATGCACCTTCCACTTTGTTTACTGAAACACTTATTTCTGGAGGCCTGAGCTGCCACATACGAAGTCCCATTGCTCTTAGGCTGTTTCCACTGTGAGAAAACCCAAACCACTACAAGGGAGATAAGAGTAAACACTTCAGATGACCCAGGCTCTGGCTGTCAAGTCAGCACCCAATTATTCCCAGGTAAACCATGGACACCATGGACCAAAGAAAAGCCATTCCTACTGTGATGTCCTGTCCAAATTCCAGACCCATAGAATCTTTGAGCATATTAAAACCAAAATATTTAGAAATTATTATGCAGATAAAGAGGCACCTGGTGGCAGAGCAATTTGACCCACCAACCTTTCAGTTTGCTGAATGCTAAACCACTCTACCAAAAAAACATCTGTTAATCTGCTTCCCTAAGATTACAGTAAGGTATGTGAACTCTTGAGCCTATGGGCACTGACCTAGTCCCTGGGGACTAGGGCGGAGACTTTAGTGGCCAAATTTGCAGCTAGTACCCATGTGACCTAGCTGGGATGGCTAGCTGACCAGAACTCAAACCAAGGAAAATAAAGCTGCTTGATACTGAGAACAAGTGCAAAGTGCTACAATATGACAAACTAAACTTTTGCCTATGAGTTCAGTAACTCAAAACTCCAACCAAAATGGAAGGATTCTTCATGTCAAGAAACAAACTAGAATACCTAAAATGGGGCTACAACGTGCCCAGTGAAGGAGGCTTCCTGTGGAGCCTCTGTATTACATAAGACTACAGGGGGAATCCTGAACAGCATCCAGAATCTTCAGAGGTGGGAAATTTCCTCTTGAAAGGACGGGCAGACCAGCCTGGAATGGCTAGAAGAACAGAAGATACTTCTTGAAAGAAAGACCAACAAGAAAAATACAAAACAATATCAGCAGACCAACTGATTACTACAAGAACAAGCAAGTTGCTCGCCCAGGAGACATCAAGGAAAGTGGTCGGGTCCCCTCAGAGCAAACCCCCTTCCAAGACTGAGACTCAATGGAAATACAAGCTCCGATTGGTGACCACGCTCGTCACCGATAAGGGGAAGTGAGGGAAAAACAGCAATGAAGTTGCAAGCTAAGCCCTACAACATTCAATAGACTCCTGTGAACCGGGGTGGAGACCTGGTTGGCCAGCAGTGTGACAAGACCTGGGGACTCTTGGGCCCAGAGCCAGTGACATAGACACAGGGGACTAGAGTGGAGAGGGAAGCGTCCAGCTGATAAGAAGAGAGGTCATATGCACAAGGTCACCCACACTTGCAGTTAATACCCACTTGACCTGGCTTCAATGACTGGATGATCACAGCTCAACTAGAAGAGAAGAGGAAAAAGAGTAATCTGATACAATTTGATAAACTTGACCTACACCTATGGATGAGGTAGCTCAGAAGAGGGAACAGACTATTACAGCAAGGATCATTCCCACCCTCTCCATACACAGAGTAGACAGGGATGGGCAACTTGGACATTGGCTACCCAAAATGGGGGAGCTACAAAGGCAAGCCAATACCAGTCCATTTCAGCACACTAATGCCTAAGATATCAATGTTGATGCGTCCCATTTCATTTTTGACAACTTCCAATTTTCCCAGAATCATACTTTGTACATTCCATGTTCTGATTTTCAATGGATGTTTACAGCTGTTTCTCTTCATTTTAAGTTGTGGCCCATAGGAAATTAAGGTTCTGTGCGCTTTTCTCCCCCAAGCTTAACTCGATTCACGTCATCATGGTCAACTCTACTTTGAGGAGGCATTTTTTTCCCCAGTCGCATTCTGAGTGCCTTCCCACCTTCCGGTCCTGTAACTGACAGTATTTCTCTGCTATTCAGAGTTTTCAGTGACTAGTGGTTTGAAGTAGTTCATCACTCTTTCTTCCTAGTCTGTCTGTCTGAAAGCTCATCATGGTCAACTCTACTTTGAGGAG